TGTGTGTGTGTGTGTGTGTGTGTGTGTGTGTGTGTGTGTGTGTGTGTGTGTGTGTGTGTGTGTGAGAGAGAGAGAGAGAGAGAGAGAGAGAGAGAGAGAGTCCCCCCCTCGGCGCCAAGGCTGCCCCGTCCTCAGACGGGGACACATGCGCGCAGGGAAGAAAGGTGTCCTTGGGGGTGCTGCGGGCAGGGATGGGAGAGGACAGGAAGCACCTGTTGCTGGCGAAGGATTGCCTGTTACCTGCGTGGCTTGGAGGACGGGCTTTCTCTGCTCCCCCCCTCCTCTCGCTGGCTAAGCGAGGTGGCACTCACAAGCACACGTGCATGCCTGCCTTGTAATCCTCCCAAGAAGGAAAGAGGCCTTTTCTCGCAAGGAGAGGGAAATCTCCTCGCTTGGTGCATAGACTCAAATTGGGTGGATCAGGCCTTGTTAAACCAAGCGGAGTGCTTTTGTATGGAGGGTGCAGAGTTCCTTTGGAAAAGTGACTCAGCCGTAGATTACAGATACGTTTTTAGTCAGGGATTTTAAACATGACAAGACCGATCGTGTATATGTAACTCCTTAGAACTTAGCCCCGTTTGCAGTTGTTTTCTTGGATGTACATTATGGTAAGTCCCAAGGGCTGTTTGACAGATTAACAAGGCAGTTCTCTACATGTCTGCTCAAATGTAATGTGCAGGGAGTATTACTTTGGTGTAGCACATGTTTGACTTCCAAACACTAATTTCCCCATGAAGACCTGCAAGAAAAACAGCAGCAGATGCTATTTATGGATTCCATGCAAGACTTTACTTTGCAGGGCAATGCATTTCAATGGGAAACCTCCTTTTGAATAGTGAAGAATTCCAATAGCGAGGTTTTTTTCAGAACGCATTAACCCCGCTATTCAAGGCACCACTGTATATATATGTATGTATATGTATGTACGTATGTATATATATGTATGTGTGTATATGTGTGTGTGTATATATGTATGTGTGTATATATGTGTGTGTGTGTATATATGTATATGTGTGTGTGTGTACATAAATAAAATGGAAAATTTTATATTATTAGAAAAATTCTACAAGATGGAAAGAAGCGGCAAAATCATAATAGGAAAAGAAGGGAAGAAAAGACTTAACTGGGAGGGAAGGTTTGGTTTTTAAAAATACCCAGCGAGGGAGCCGCACAAATCTCCGGAGGCAGATTGTTCCAGAGGCAAGATCATCAGCGGAGAGACTTTCTCTCCATCCCATCAGCTTCACAGGTGTATCTAATGGGGACACAGGAGATGGGGACACTGCTGCTCCCAGACTTTGGAACTCCTTCCCACTGGAGGCCAGAATGGCCCCATTTTTATTATCCTTTTGCAAGCAGGCCAATACCTTTCTCTTCAGGCAGGCTTTCCTTTACTGACTGGTTGCCCGAGAGGTTTTTTTTTTTTAATGGATTGTTGTGCCCTGTCGCTTTTGAATGTGTTTTGAGTGTTGATTTTATTTAACATATTTAATATATGTTTAAAAAAATACTTGTGCATTTATTGTTTTTAGCTTTTTAATATTGTCTTTTAATGATGCAAGCCGCTATGGGTCCTTTTAAAGGAGAAAGGCCGGGTAAAAGTATTTTAGGTAAATAAGTAGAGAGATAAATGTGCCTACATTTACTACTGCAGCCTGGATTAGAAAAGGCTGAAACTCAATTCATGGAATGTACAACGCAATCTGCATCACAATTGTTTTAGAAAGGTGTCTACAAATCACATATCAGAGTGCTAGTAAGGCAGTGGTAATAGTACTAATAAGTAAACAGGTGTGTTTTTTTTAATTACTATTCTGGTGCTCTTTGCCTCACTTGTTGGTGTCCACTTACCTCTGTCAGGTCAGCTTCGGCTATTTCAGGTTCATCCGGATGAGGAAGCAAAGAGCGAGGATCCCTGGGGTCTTGGTTTCCACTATCTGCAAAAGATGGAAATGAGATATTAAAATGGGAAAAGAGGGAATGGTCAATTCCATGTTCGTTAGAGCAGCCAAATGCAGAGCCAGACAACCTGAAGGGCATTTCTATCTTGTTCAGTTTAGACCCTGGAAAAGTTTATTTCTAAAAGACTACAGCTCTCAGATTCTCAAAATAACCACAGCCCTGCGAAGGTGACGGGAGGGGGGGGAACCCTAGAACCCACAGTCGAAAAAAATGTACCTTTACCAAACTCTGATCCAGTTGTACAGAAAATAGCTTTTGTTTATTTATTATTTGTTTAAAATGTTTTTATCACATCTTTCTCCTTAAAAAGGACCCAAGACGGCTCACATCATCAAAGCTAAAACTAGTACATATACAAATATTTTAAAAGACCAAACAAATACCACACCAAAAACAGTAAACAAAAGCAACACCAAAATGCATTCAAAGCAGTAAGGTACAACACAATCCATTTACTTTTTTTTTTAAACATGAGATGGCTGTACTCCACCTTTCAGGGAAGTTGATGGAGCTGGCATTCAATAAGAAAAGGATTTTCAGAATTAAGACAACTCTGGCCTTCCTACAAAACACTCCAACCAGCACAGCTCAGCAGGAGGGAGAGCCACAAACATGTGTGTATATATTTGTTTATTTATTTAACTTATATGCTGCCCACACTACCCAAAGGACTCTGGGTATAAGCAGCATCCACTGCAGATTTTAAAGAAGCAAACCAAACCTGAATTGGAACAGTAATAACTCCATTGGCTGGGGATGATGGAATTTGTAGTCCAACCACCTGCAGGACACTAAGTCATCCTGCAGCCTTAACTGATGCCCTTACCCAGTAAACCGTTATCCTTGCTCCTGTTCTGCTTGACTTCCTTCTGGACCTGTTTCTGAAGAACACCCATGGAAGCTTTCTCTGCCTCTGGAGAAATCTTGGTCATCTCAGGCAGTGGCTCCTGAAAAAGAAAAGAAATCATCTGATCAAGACAAAACTGAGAGGTCTCAGGTCTCACTTCCCTGCCCATAGAGCTCCATGCTCGACTGTAACAAAAATCTAACTATGTGTAAAAAAACCCATAGCTTTGACTATGCAGACCTTTGTTGGCAAGGCAATGTCTTTCTTTTCTATTTCCCAGGAGGTGATGGGACCAACGGCCATGATCTTACTTTTTTGATGTTGAGCTTCAGACCATTTTTTGCACTCTCCTCTTTTACCCTCATTACAAGGTTCTTTAATTCCTCCTCACTTTCTGCCATCAGAGTGGTATCATCTGCATATCGGAGGTTGTTGATATTTCTTCCG